CCCGCCCAAGCCAGCGTCTGCCGCGGCCGGCGCCGAGCCATGGTGAGTCTCGCGTCGCACCCCCCGGTGTCCCCCCGGCCGTCGGGAAACCCGTAGCCCCCAGCCCCGTGCCTCCTGCGCCTGCCTCGCCTGCTCGGCGCTCCTAGGACTCGTCCGCTCGGTGCCCGCTTCCCGTGGACCCGCCCGCCGGCCCGCGGTCGAGCTGTCCGCCCCGGCCACGGCCTCACCCTCTCCCGCGTTCCTCCCCGGCCCTCCCCCGCCTCCCGCTGGTCTCTCACCTAGTCCGCACTCCTCCCCCGCCCTGCCTGTCCGGGGCAGCGCTTTCTTTGCCGGCTCTCCTCTCCCCTCCCCCGCCCTCCGGGTCCCAGCCCTCTATCCTTCGTAGACCCCCACGGATTGTTCTTACGGCTCTCCTGCAATGGCACTGCCTCGGGTCATGAGAACTGACCTGCTATAGCCACCATTTTCCATCTGTCCCCAGCCCGGTGAAGCTGGCCCACCCATCCGGCCCTGGGGGACCAGACACAGCTGTGGCTGGGCCGGGGCCAGGGGCACGGCCAAAGAGGGGAATTCCCGCCGAGAAAACGGGGCCATGGCAAGGGTAGGGGGCGTGACGCTGCCAGAGCAGAGCAGAGATGTGGGGTTCCCCAGCCCCCCCGCCCCCAGCCCAGCGCTGCAGGGAATGGAAGCGCTGCCTCCTGCTGCAGAAGGGAAGGAGCTCGGACGGACGGGAGCTCCCCGAAAGAGGCCAAGGCCCTTGGAGCGGCAGCGTGGGGCACTGGAAGCCCCTGCATCAACAGGAGCGAACACTTTCCTGGGAACTTTTCAGTCCAGAAGTACTCCTGAAGAAACATTGCAAGAGTGGGCACTGCCAAGGAGAGCGCCCACTGCACTGGGGTGCAGCCAAGGGGGGGGTGCTCACTGCATAACGAAGGAGGGGGGGAGGCCCTGCCAGGGGCGCTCACTGCAGGGAATGGAGGAGGGGCAGGAACACAAGCGGGGTCTGCTCCACTGCGAGGGGAGGTTGTAGCTAGAAGAAAGAGGAACTGGGCCAAGGAAAGCTGACCCAGTCTCTCTGGTCTCCCCTTTGGTCCTGGCCGACTGGAGGCTTGGCCGCTGAGCTCCTAGCCTGCCGTCGCCCGCTCCAGACCCCTCCTCCTCTTCTGCCGCTGCTGTTTCCTGTGGCTATGACTCTGGCCCAGCCATGAGCTCACCGCCCCTAATGGGTTGCAGCTGCCTCACTGCTTAGGCCCTAAATCCGCGCCCCCCGCCCCCCCCCCCGCCTTGGAGCTGAGGCCCACTTAGCCTCATCCCTGCCCATCTCCTAACCACCCCCATCCCCCCACCCACGCGCACAGAGCCGGCGGGGTCCTAGGAACACTAAGGGTCTGTCTGCTCGCCCACATACCTTGGGGCCTGGTCTGGGCGCTTACGCACAGAATGTCTGACTCAGGAGTGGTTGCCCTAGCTTCTTAGACTGCTGGGACATGCTGGCTACTCTGACTGGAGGGACTTAGGGTAAAATATGCAGTTTTGTCTAGAGGCCAAAGCAAGGCATGTGGGCAGTGATGGGGGTGGGAAGAGAGCTAGGTAAATACTTGCATTGAGTACCCCTTTTCCCATTTATGACCAAAAAATCTAATAAAATGAATTTCAAAGTCCATCTTAAAAGGGAATGAAACTTGCAAAGAAATAACTCAAGGGGATTTTGTTTTGAGTGTGAGATGGTGAAAGATGTCACATTAATTCACTTGGAGGAGGCCAGTCTGGGTGAGTCTTTTGAGCTGATCTGGTGGCTCCAGGTCTAAGTTGGCAGAGAGAGGTCCCACTGGAATTAGAAAAAGATTTCAGCTGGAATGCATACTATTAAGGCCTCCTCCTCCCTTCCCCGAATGTTCCTTTTGTGCCTTTTTCCTCTTTTAAATGCCTCCACCCAGTTCTTTGTAACTCAATCCCACAGACTCTGGGAATGGGTGATTGCTTGGGAGCCATTCTGGAAGAGAAGAGTGATATAAAGAATGCCAGTCTCTCTATCCTCCTTCTTCCCATCCATGTTAGTGGGTGTAGAGGTCTGGATGGGTACCCTAGGAGAAACAATTTACAGAATGGATCTGTGAAACCTCTATCAACTCAATCCCCTGATGGTCCCAGAGACTGTCTTTTGTCTCCTGAGGAGACCCTATGCAGTCACTAGGAGTCATGAACATTAATCTGAGACATTCCCAGGAACTTCTCCCAGAATCTCCAAAACCAAGGCCTCAGATTTTAATAAGCATGAAGTCCTGGTAGGTGTGTAGACTGTGATGGCCCAGCCCTCCCCCCATCCTGCCTCATCCCACAGCATTTCCTGAGTGCCCAGGAGGGCACACATGATGAGGGCCCCGCGGGAAACAGCTAACTTCAGACCAGTGCAGCCCCCAAGGAGATAAGCTTGGGTGATCTTCAGGGATCTGTAGTCTGCTCTTGTTTCTCCCAGGAGCCTGAGCCAGTTGAGGACTGTGTGCAGAGCACACTTGCTGCCTTGTACCCACCTTTTGAAGCCACAGCCCCTACCTTGCTGGGTCAGGTGTTCCAGGTGGTGGAGAGGACTTACCGGGAGGATGCGCTGAGATACACACTGGACTTCCTGGTTCCAGCCAAGCACCTGCTTGCCAAGGTCCAGCAGGAAGCCTGTGTGAGTGGCTATATTTTGCATCTATATTTTGCTTCTCCTAAGATCATTGACCCACTCTAGATTTGCCAAGACTCTACTGATCCCAAAGGGTCATTTAAAGTGATCCCAGACTTTGGGCCTCACAAATACTGATTACCTAGATACTAACACATAGACATGTCCTTTCATCTTTTCCAAGCATTGACCCCTAACCAACATTGACACCAAAAAGAAAAAAAAAAAAAAAGATCCTGACCTTCCAGAACCAATTCTAGACATTTCTACCTCATTAGGAATTCGTGAAGATGCTAATTCCCTCAGATATGACTCAGCAGAGATCCTTCACTCTATAGATATAAAGACTAAGAGTTTTGATTCCTCTAAGCCAATGGCATTTGACCACGCCTCTGTAGTGATGGTCTCATAAGTCCCACATACAGAACTGGCTCCCTAGAGAAGCATCCTACCCCAGAGGACAAGTTCCAATCCCCACATCAACCCTAATTCTCCCTCCCCACCCCTCTAGACAAGGCCTTCCCAGAGTGGCCCTATTCTCACTGCCTCCCCTGATAGTTTCTTCAGCAGAGGTCTGAGTGCAGCCCCCACTTCTCTCCCCAGGCCCAGTACAGTGGATTCCTCTTCTTCCATGAGGGCTGGCCTCTCTGCCTGCATGAGCAGGTGGTGGTACAGCTAGCAGCCTTGCCTTGGCAGCTGCTGCGCCCAGGAGATTTCTACCTGCAGGTGGTACCTTCAGCAGCCCAAGCACCTCGGCTGGCACTCAAATGCCTGGCCCCAGGGGGTGGGAGGGTGCAGGAGTTGCCTGTGCCCAATGAGGCCTGCGCCTACTTGTTCACACCTGAGTGGCTACAAGGCATCAACAAGGACCGGCCAACAGGTCGTCTCAGCACCTGTCTGCTCTCTGCACCTTCTGGAATTCAGCGGCTGCCCTGGGCTGAGCTCATCTGTCCACAGTTTGTGCACAAAGAGGGCCTCATGGTTGGGCATCAGCCAAGCACACTGCCCCCAGAACTGCCATCTGGACCCCCAGGGCTTCCCAGCCCTCCACTCCCTGAGGAGGTGCTGGGCACCCGGAGTCCTGGGGATGGGCATAATGCTCCTGCAGAAGGCCCAGAGGGTGAGTATGTGGAGCTGTTGGAGGTGACGCTGCCTGCAAGGGGGAGCCCTATGGATGCTGAGGGCTCTTCAGGTCTCTCCAGGACCCGCACAGTACCCACTCGCAAGAGTGCTGGGGGAAAGGGCCGCCACCGGAGACATAGAGCATGGATGCACCAGAAGGGCCTCGTGCCTCGGGACCAGGATGGGGCACGACCACCTGGTGAGGGGAGCAGTACTAGAACCTCCCCTGGGTCTCCCCCAGGATCTGAGACTGTCCTGGAGGGGTCTGAGCCCCCAGCAGAGAACCTGGAAGAAACATCGGAATCTTGTCCCCTTCAGCCAGGGGAGGCTGGAGGAGCAGGCCCGGGGACTGAAGTACCACCTGGTACCCCTCGAAGAACAGGCAAGGGAAACAGGAGAAAAAAGCGAGCTGCAGGCAGAGGGGCTCTTAGCCGAGGAGGGGACAGTGCCCCTCACAGCCCTGGAGAAAAGGAGGAGACCAAATACCAGGAAACCCATATCAATATGCCCTTACCAAATGAACACAAGCTTCCAGAATGTGGCCTGGTTAAGGAGAACGAAGGCTTGAGGAAGTTGGAATCTGAGCCAACAGAAGAACTCACACCAGCAGATGAAAAAGAGAGTAAGCCCCCAGAAGACTGTGGGCCGACAGAAGAGGGTGCCAGAGAGACAAAGCAAGAGGACATGAGCCCGGTACATATGGCAGGTGAGATGAAACTGAGGCCCAGGGAACAAAACTGGGCCTAGGGATGGGAGGGAAGTAGAATTAGGCTGAGATCAGGCTTGTAGCTCTGCCTGTGTCTGTACAGGATCCACAGGTCCAGAGGGGTTCCTGTCTGAACCCCCAACACAACCCCTGGAGACTGTGCAGGAAGTAAAAGGAGAGAACACTACAGAAGAGGCCCCTTCAGCCCCCATCTCTGATGATCCCGTTATAGCTTGGGACTTGATGGCATCTGGATTCTTCGTCCTGACTGGTCAGTGGACAAAGGGAAAGGCACTGGGAGTGAGATAAACAGTCAAGGTGGGCTTGGGAGAGAGGAATGGAGAGAAGGAAGGAGGGAGGGAGCCAAAGACTGCTCCTAGTCTCGGCCATTTTGTGTCTTAGGTGGGATAGACCACAGTGGACGAGCTCTACTGACCATTACCCCTCCATGCCCTCCTGAGGAGCCCCCAACCTCTCCAGACACTCTGAGCACTGTTCTTCATTATCTGCACTCACTGCTCAGGTAACCATGTGCATCTCAGTCCCCTAGAAATTAACTTTCTGAATCTTGAAGACCTGACCTCAGAGTACTGACCCTCTGCCTCTGGGACACTTACTTGAACCTCTCAGATTTTCAAACTGTTGACCTCTAACTTACTAACTTCTAGGATACCTTTATTAATCCCCCAAATTAGCATTGCTGACTTTCAATATCTAAGACACTACCTGAATTATCAGGGGATTGGTTCATTCATTCGACAAATATTTATTGAGCTCCAAGTTACCTATTAGGCACCATGCTACAGGATGACATTCAGTCCAAACTATTCCAGAACACAAGTCTTTCTAGACTTTCATTCCTTGACCCAGCTGCCATGTGAATGTAGATTCCTGATTGCTAGGTCAATTACCATCTGTTAGACACACATCAGGGTTTGGTCCTTTCCCCATTGCTTCCCAAATGTACTGGGCAAGCACAATTTAACTTTTCCTAAAGACAGTTAACACTAAATCCGAGCCAACGCCTCTGCTTTGCCCCACAGGCCTGATCTGCAGCTATTGGGGCTGTCGGTTCTGCTGGACCTTCGCAAGGCATCCTCGCTGCCTTCTGCACTTATTCCCATCCTGAATCAACTTCAGGTAACCAACCCTTTGAGAAAGGCACTTCCTCTAGATCTTAACTTCCTTAGCGGCCTTTCTAGGTCATCTAAGTGCCTACAATTTAGGGCTCTCCTCTCTCTTTTCAGAACTCAGGAGACCCTCCCCTTATTCAGCGGCTACTAATTCTTACCCAGGATGCTCTTCAGACTGAACTCTATGGATTTCAGGTTTGAGCCACTCACTCTCACCTAGTTTTCCATCAGTAGTGGAGAGAGAAGGGGCTGGTGGGAGGGCCAGGTTGGTCTATAGCTCCCTGAGGGCCCAAGTAGAATTCCTTGCCCTCACTTATCTACAGGGTGCTGAGTTGCTGTCAGAGAATGAACTGAAAAGAGTGGCCAAGCCAGAGGAACTGCAGTGGGACCTAGGAGGTCACAGGGACCTCTCTCCAAGCTACTGGGTAGAGGTACATCAGGTAAGTTTCCCTTCTGTCACTGATGACCCTGGAAGCTAGGAATGGCCCAGTTAGAATGAGAATATTCTGCGTTAGGTTGCAGACCCAAGATACAACCATAGGTTGAAAAGAAGTACTTTGCAGAACTAGGTGTCAATGGCTCACACTTGTAATCCTACTCTAGAGGTGGAGATCTGTGGTTTGAGGTTCAGAGCCAGCCTAGTTAAATTTTATCTCCAATGAGACTCATCTCCAATTAACCAGCAAAAAAGTTGGAAGTAGACCTGTGGCTCAAGTGGTAGGGTGCCAGCCTTGAGTGAAAAAGCTAAGGGATAGCACTTTGACCCTGAGTTAAAGCCTCAGTATCAGAACCAAAAAGAAAAAGAAAAAAGAGGGGGCTGGGAATGTGGCTTAGTAGTAGAGTGCTTGCCTAGCATGCATGAAGCCCTGGATTTGATTCCTCAGTACCACATAAATAGAAGAAGCTCGAAGTGGTGCTGTGGCTCAAGTGGTAGAGTGTTAGCTTTGAGCACAGAGAGGTTTAGAAACAGTGCCCAGGCCCTGAGTTCCAGCCCCAGGATCGGAAAAAAAGAAAAGGAAAGTACTTTCCATTCCTCTCAGTTCAGAAAGCCCTTATTACTTACTCACAAACCATTAGAGCTGTTGCTGAGATAAGAGGAGCATGTGAACTTCTTTATATGGTAACGTGTAATTTTTCTGATGAAAGATGAAATCACAAAACAACTTACTAGAGAAGAATACAATATATTATCATGTGGTTTCTGGAAAGTGCTAGGAGTTGAAAGGTTAGTTTTTGTTCCATGTAGCCTTGAACAAGTTACCTTTTTCTCACGTTTGAAGATGGTACCCATTTCTGTACTTGCTCCCTATTCCCATATCCAAGCCTCAGCATCCTCATCCACAAAGTCCATCAGTCCTGGTGATCTCTAAAGGTCCTTCCTGTTCTTATCTTTTATGAGTTTAAGTTCTGTGAGTATTCAGGAAGAGAGAAATAAATAAGCAGAAGTCTATATAGCTCAATCTATAAGTTGCATGACAGAAGGAAAATGGGTCTGAAAGAGGCAGAAAAGGAGATTTGGAAGGGCAGAGACCCAATACAGACAAAGGAAAAGGAAGCTCACATTTACTAACCTGTACAATGTGCCTGGCCCATCCGGGTGCTAGGCTGATACCATCTCTTTAAAACTCATAAAATCCCCTCTTAATTCAACTTTATAGCTAGAGAAAATGAAGTTTAGAGTTTGTGGACCTGCCCAAGAGTCCGATAATTAGTAAGCAACAAAGTCAGGTACTGCACCCACCATGAGTCTCCAGGACTGCTCAACACTCACAATAAGTTCCTTGTCCTGAATCCTCATATTCAACTCCATCCCTACCTATGCGTTTCAGGAAGTGGCGAGGCTATGTACCCTGTGTCGGGGTGTGCTGGGCTCTGTACGACAGGCAATTGAGGAGCTAAAGGGAACAGCGGAGCCAGAGGGAGAGGTATGAAGAGATGGGACAATGGGGGGTTATGGATTAGATTGGTGTAGACTGTCTCTAGTGGAGCCTCATCTATCATTCCCTGTCCCCAGCAGGTAGTGGGAATGCCTAAACCCCTGCAGAAGATACTAGCAGATTCTCGGCTGACAGCTTTACAGAGGGACGGAGGAGCCATCCTGATGAGACTTCGTTCCACCCACAGCAGCAAGTATGAGAGCTGGGTGTGCAGAAGTATATATAGGAGGGTGAGATAACAAACCCAAGGTGGAATGGCCACTGGTAAATTGAAGCTGTCAGATTGTTTTTACTGTACATATGTCTGGGCAAAGTGTGCTTTTGCACTTAACAACTTTTGCAATGTTCCTGCGCACTAGTTGCCATTTTAAGGATTTTTAGGCTCTGATCCTAGCCACTCTGGAAGCTGAGATCTGAGGATCCTTGTTCAAAGCTAGTCTGAGCAGAAAAGTCCAGACTTTTAACTCCAATTAGCAAAAAGGTGTGGCTCAAGTAGTAGAGTGCCAGCCTTGAGTAAAAAAAAGGGAGAATACCCTTTCCCTAAATTCAAGCCTAATACTGGCACAGAAATAAACCAATAAATAAATAGGTAAGAATCCAGGGGCTTGACAAGGGCAAGGGCTCATTCTAGTCTCTCCTTCTCCAGGCTGGAGGGCCCAGGTCCAGCCACACTATACCAGGAGGTGGATGAAGCCATCCACCAGCTTGTGCGCCTCTCCAACCTTCATGTTCAGCAACAAGAGCAACAGCAGCGCCGGTACCGACTCCAACAGGTAAGAACTCATAGTCCTCATTACTGGAGCTTAGGAGCCTCTGGTACTCCCTTCTCTACAGATACTTCATATTGATGGGGTTAATATAACCTGTCGAAGTGAATGCCCATCTCTCCTCATCTTTCCTAGAGCATGGTCATAGTAAGTGTGAAACTCAGCAAGAGGGCTGGAGCAGCTCAACACCAGCAAAAAAAAAAAAAAAAGGCTAGATGTCCCCACTGTTTGTGTGTGATCTGGGATCCTGAGAGATGCTCATTGTCCAAGGGATCCTAGAAAAAGCTGGCTGAAGTGTTTACCTCCTTCGCATAAAGATAACAAATACCTATTGATACTTTTTTGTGTGCTGGTTCTGGGACTTGAACTCAGGGCATGGGCACTGTTCCTCAGGTTTGTGCTCTACTACTTGAGCCACAACTCCATTTCTGGCTTTTTGCTGGTTAACTGGAGGTAAGAGTCTCTCAGACTTGCCTTCCTGGTTGGCTTCAAACCACCATCCTCAGCTCTTAGCCTCCTGCATAGCTTGGATTTCAGGTGTGAGTCTATAATCAGTTGCCAGCTATATCTGCTGCCTCAACTCTTTATGCAGTAGAATCCCCAGTAGAGGCTGGAAAGGCCTTGTCTCCCTCCACCTTGGCAGGAAGGCATTGCAAGGTCTAAAAGCAACCACTGGACTTCTTATGACAAGATCTGTGAACAAGACTGGCTTCTCTTAACCTTAATTGTTCTTTCCTGGGATTAAGAACCCCACAGAGATTTGTTCTTTACCCTGCTATGTGGGGTGGAGTGAGCTTTTGAAATTTGGTTATTCCTCCTTATTCCTTTTTTTTGGGGGGGTCCAATCGTGGGGCCTGAACTCTGGGCCTGGGCGCTGTCCCTCAGCTCTTCAGCTCAAGGCTAGTGCTCTACCACTTGAGCCACAGCGCCACTTCCAGCTTTTTTCTTTTTGCTTATGTGGTGCTGTGGAATCGAACCCAGGGCCTCAGGCATGCAAGACAAGCGTTCTACCACTGAGCACCTTTCCAGCCCTCCTCCTTATTCCTAAGCATGGCATGGTGTGCTCCTCACAGATGCCTATGTTGGCATCAGGGAAAGGGTCATCTCAGAGTCAGTTGTTTCTAGGATTGTGGCACACTTGCTTCCTCTATTCCAACATCCAAGAAGTCATCTCCTACTGTTTCTTTATTAGCTTTCCTTTATTTTTATAAATCCTGTTTGAAAACAGTGTTTGGAGGTGGAAGTGATGAGCCTGAGTTCTAGCTACCATATGTGTAAGACATTAACAACTTAGGAAGCTTCTCTGAGTTTTCAAGTCTACAGAATGAGGATGGTAACACGATGTACAAGGGAGCTAGGAGGATGAGATGAATTTGGCAAAGAACTCTAAATGTAGTTATTGTTGGCACTAGCTGTTCAGGGACATTCTCAGGCTTCATCTTCAGGCTATCCTACCATAGTTTCCTCTCTTTCTTCTGAGGAAAAACTTATCATCTCTTTTTGTTCAAACATCTCAAAGCAAGCATGAGGGTTTCTAATGGCAGCATAACAAGCAGCCAGACCTTGATACACATTCACACACAGAACCACTATCTGGGCCATGGACCACTCTCCAGCCCTGGGGCCTAGGACACTGCCCACATCACCAGAGCAGAGTGAGTGTGAAATTTCTCCTGGCTCTAGTTGTCCAGCGGATCTTCCTTCCTGCCTTTGGTTCATACCAGTTTTATCTGTTCACCTACTCTGAGTGCTTCATGAGGCTCTTTACTAAAGAGTTTGGATGGTTTTTTTAATTTTTTTTTCAATAGTAGGGTTTGAACTAAGGGCCTTGTGCTTGCTAGGCAGGTTCTTTACACTTAAGCAACATCGCTTGTACTACTAAAGACTTCTTACCTGGTGTCTCACAGGGTCCTGTGGAAACTACTACCACTCATTGTTATCAATTTCATGTTACTGATGATACAAAATAGCTCACCCCAGTTCTATAGGTCAAGGTCATGGAACTAGAGCTGGTGCTCAGCCTTTCTGCTTCATAGCCTTCTTTTCCCTCATGGTCCCTGCTATCCCACCCCATTTGCCTCAGGTGCTGCAATGGCTCACAGGCCCAGGCAAGGAGCAGCTGGCTAACTTTTCTGTGCCTGGTGACTCCCTGTCTGCCTTGCAAGAGACAGAGCTTCGATTCCGGGCTTTTAACACTGAGGTTCAGGTAAGTGGGAAGAAGAATTTGTGGGGAAGTCAGTAGAAAGAAAGAGGACTAGACCTGAGCATGCCTCCCTTTTCCAGGAACGCCTGGCTCAGGCCCGGGAAGCCTTGGATCTGGAGGAGGACACTACTTCTCAGAAGGTTCTGGATGTCTTTGAACAGCGCTTGGAGCAGGTAGAAAGTGGCCTCCATCGGGCCCTGAGGCTTCAGCGCTTCTTCCAGCAGGTGTGTGTGTACAGAGCACCTTCCTGTGCTCACTATCATCTCTCTTCAGCCTGGAGATGCTGATCTAGTAGTGGTTAAGAGCAAGGGCTAGGTATGGTGGCTCATGTTTAATTGTGCCTACTCAAGAGGCAGAAGCAGCAGGATCCTGAATTGAAGATCAACCTAAGCAAAAAGGTTTTGTTTTTTGTTTTTGTTTTGGTCAGTTGTGGGGCCTGAACTCTGGGTCTGGGCGCTGTCCCTCAGCTCTTCAGCTGAAGGCTAGCACTCTACCACTTGAGTGTCAGCCCCATTTCCGGCTTTTTTCTTTTTGCTTATGTGGTGCTGAGGAATCGTACCCAGGGCCTCATGCATGCAAGGCAAGCACTCTACCACCAAACCACTTTCCCAGCCCTGCAAAAAGGTTTTAAGACACTGTCTTAATACAATATTATATCTTAAACATAAAATAAAAAGCTAAGCACAAGTGACTCATGCCTGTAATCCTAGCTACTCAGGAGGCTGAGACCTAGAGGATTGAGATTCAAAGTCAGCCTGAGTAGAAAAAGTCTTTGAGACTCCATCTTCCATTAATCAGCAAAATGCCAGCGTAGAGAGGTAAGGCTGAAGTGATAGAGTGCTAGTTGTAAACAAGAAAGCCAAGTGCGAGACCAAGGCCCTGGGTTCAAGACTTGGTACCAGCTCAATGAACAAATAAGTGAATAAGTAAATAAATAAATGAATGAATATAAAAAACCAAAGACTAGAGGTGTGGCATAAGTGGTAGACTGCTTGTCTAGCATATGTGAGACTTTGGGCTCAATTCCCAGTACTGAGAGAGAGAGGGAGAGAGAGAGAAGAGAAACTTAGGAATGGATCTTCTCAGCTTTGATTCTTTGCTCAGCCATCAATTTGCTGAATGACTATTAAAGCCAATGTGCCTTTGTAGACATCTGCCTATATGAAAGTAGTACCAATCCTGCAGCTTATACCCTCTGTATAAGTACTAACTGTTCCAGGCTCCTCAGGCTCCATGCCATGGTAACATAGCGTGCCTCCAAGGAACATGGTTAGGCAGTGATACTGGGACAGTAAGAAAACAGAAATGTGACAGGCATTGGAGAGCCATCAGCAAAGTAAGATCTATTGTGGTGGGCATTTGGGAGTGGCACAGGCTCTCAGCCTCTCTCTTATCTCCAACCCCTTTGGCTTTGTAGGCACACGAGTGGGTAGATGAGGGCTTCGCTAAACTAGCAGGAGCTGGGCCCAGTCGTGAGTCTGTGCTGGCAGCCCTTGCCCTGCGTCGGGCCCCAGAGCCCAGTGCTGGCACCTTCCAGGAGATGCGGGCTCTGGCTTTGGACCTGGGCAGCCCAGCAGCCCTTCGAGAATGGGGCCACTGCCGAGCTCGCTGCCAAGAGCTGGAAAAGAGGATTCAACAACAGCTGGGAGAAGAGGCCAGTCCTCGGGGCCACCGGCGACGACGGGCAGACAGTGCCAGCAGCGCAGGGGCCCAGCAGGGCTCCCACAGCCCCTCACCCAGCCTCAGCTCTCTGCTACTGACCAGCAGCCCTGGGCCGCGGGCAGCCCCATCACATTGCTCCTTGGCCCCCTGTGGGGAAGACTATGAGGATGAGGTCCTTGAGCTGGCTCCAGAAGCTGACAGCAGGCCCCCAAGAGCCGTGCTAATCCGAGGCCTTGAGGTCACCAGTACTGAGGTGGTAGACAGAACATGCTCACCTCGGGAACATGTACTCCTGGGCCGGGCTGGGGGGCCAGATGGTCCCTGGGGAGTAGGCACCCCACGGATGGAACGCAAACGAAGCATCAGGTGAGAACCCAGCCCTATTGGTTCCCAAAAGGCAAACCCAACTACCTACCAGTGGGTAGCAGGGTAACAGCTCAGCAATTCAGTGCCCAGGTAACACTTCTGCTGCTGCTCTGGTTCTGCCCGCAGTGCCCAACAGCGCCTGGTATCTGAACTGATCGCCTGTGAGCAAGATTATGTGACCATTCTGAGTGAGCCGGTGCCACCCCCAGGGCCTGAGCTGACTCCTGAACTTCGGGGCACCTGGGCTGCTGCCCTGAGTACCCGGGAGAGACTTCGAAGCTTCCACCGCACACATTTCCTGCAGGAGCTTCAGGGCTGCGCCACCCACCCTCTGCGCATCGGGGCCTGCTTCCTTCGACATGTAAGTCCTCTCTCTTCCGGTGTTCTGGCCCCTTCTACCTGTCCCCCATCGGTATCAATGCCCACTTCTCCCTTGAGAGGCACAGCTCTATCCCCTCAAAGTGGTTCCTGGACTTTGCTCTCCACAGGGAGATTTTCTCTCACTCCCAGCAGGCTGAGTGCATCCTAGGAACCCAGCCTCTCCTTTGGGCTGCAGTGAGGATGAGGAAGGAAAAGGAGGGGCCTCACGAAGGATTCCTCTTCTTTACCTGTGCAGGGGGACCAGTTCAGCCTCTATGCGCAGTTCGTGAAGCACCGACACAAACTAGAGAATGGTCTGGCAGTGCTCAGCCCCCCAGCCAAGGTAAATTTCTTTTCAGCCCTCATGAGAAGGGAGGCAGAAAAAGAGAAGAGCTAGGGAAGGATAAAACTCACCCCACCTTGAAATCCCTCAGAGTAAAAGCTTTCCTGAATGTGCCCTGGAACATCTCTTTTCAATAATCTCCCAATACTAGACAGAGCCAGGTGAGGCTGGGTTCTTTTCTGGGTCCCCCCTATGTAAGTTTGGACAAGATTCGTGATTCCTTTTCTGTGTTTAGTAAATGTCTACTCTGTCCCACTCACATGGAATGTCCCATTCACAAGGACTTCATGTTAAAAAAAAAAAATGCTACAGTGGCTGGCTACTGATTGCTCATGCCTATAATCCTATCTGCTCAGGAAACTGAGATCTGAGAATGGAGATCCAAAGCCAGCCCAGATAGAAAAGTCCATTCGACTCATCTCCAGTTAATTACCAAAAAGCTGGAAATAGAGGTGTGGCTCTAGTGGTAGAGTATCAGCCTTGAACAAAAAAACTAAAGGATAGTTCCCAAGCCCCAGATCCTGACAGACTCACAAACAGTGAAAATGATTTTAGAAGCTAAATGTGAGAGATTATAAGAGGTTATTGCTTGAGTTCCTACCTCTCCCCTTAATTCTTGTTCCTCACCTTAGGGATCCATGGAAAGTGGTCCTAGTTTGCCTCGAGCCCTGCAGCAGCCCCTGGAACAGCTGGCTCGATATGGACGGCTCTTGGAGGAGCTCCTGCATGAAGCTGGGCCTGAGCTGAGTTCTGAGCGCCAGGCCCTTGGGGCTGCTGTTCAGTTGCTCCGGGAACAAGAGGCCCGAGGTAGAGATCTGCTAGCTGTGGAAGCAGTGCGAGGCTGTGAGGTAAGGTCCTGGTTCTAGTCACTCCTGCTCCTACTGCCTAATCCTGTGGCCTCAGAAGCTACCTGGGCTGGTGCTAAGAATCAGACTCCAGGTCTGAGGGCCCTGGGCTCTGATTTCTAATGGGCTGGGTAGTCTTCACTAAGTCATTGAACTTAACTGGTCCTAAGTTTCCTCATCTGCAAATAAAGAAGCCATATCCTGTTCAACATCTCATGATCCTGCTACATCTGCTTTGTGCTACCCTATTCTGATCCTGATTCTTATCTTTCCCTTCTGCCTGCATCTCAACACCCAACACTTACTTTACTCTCTTCTACTTAGTCTTTCCTGGTTCTTGTGACTCCAAAAGTAGGCTTCCTGAACCTACTTCCTCTGGGATAGACCTACACTTTGTTGGTTCTCTTCCTGAGTCCTCAGTATGCAAATACCTATTGTAAGTTCTCTTGTGCCATGTCCCTCCCATCTTCAGAGGCAGAGCTGTGCTTCTAGACAGGTGTGCTGGGCATGGTGACCAGTGGATGGGTTCTAGGCTAAGGATGACCCTGACTTCCTGATTCTGTGTGAGGACCAGTACATCAGATCCCTTGACCTATAAATCTGTTGGTTTTTTGTTTTGTTTTTTTTTGCCAGTCCTGGGGCTTGAACTCAGGGACTAGGCACTGTCCCTGAGCTTCTTTTGCTCAAGGCTAGCACTCTACCACTTGAGCCACAGTACCACTTGTGGCTTTTTCTGTTTATGTTGTACTGAGGAATTGAACCTAGGGCTTCATGTATACTAGGCAAGCACTCTACCACTAAGCCATATTCCCAGCCCTATAAGGACCCCGGGGTCAACAACCTTTCCTTTTCCTTTCCCCAGATAGATCTGAAGGAGCAGGGGCAGCTCTTGCATCGGGACCCATTCACTGTTGTCTGCGGCCGGAAGAAATGCCTTCGCCATGTCTTTCTTTTTGAACACCTGCTTCTATTCAGCAAACTCAAAGGCTCTGATGGCGGGTTGGAGACCTTTGTTTACAAGCAGGCTTTTAAGGTACATTACTTGGAGTGAGTATGTGTGCAAAGGGGGGTAGGATTCATGCTCTTTGTGAACTCAGAATGTTCTGGAAATTCAACTCCAATCCCATTTCAGATGCATCATCTAGATAGGCTTTGACCTGATATCAGCCAGGGAATGATAGAGCTCCTTGCAGCTAGTTTACTCCATGGAGATTTCCTTATAGTTCATACAGGAGATATTGTGAGGCATTTCAAGGCCAAATGGAAGAGGGCCTTCCTCATTAAGAACACACATGCCAGCTGGGCACCAGTGGCTCACGCCTGTAATCCTAGCTACTCGGGAGGCTGAGGTCTGAGGATCATGGTTCAAAGCCGGCCCGGGCAAGAAAGTCGGTGAGACTCTTATCTCCAATAAACCAAGAGAAAACTGGAAGTGGTGCTGTGGCTTAAGTGGTAGAGCCCAAGGACCGCGCCCAAGCCTAGATTTCAAGCCCCACTACCTACAAAAGAAAAAAAAGAACACACATGCCTTTTAAGTTAGGGGTAGTCCTGGGGTAACAGGAAAAAGGACACTATATACCCAAACTTTACACAACAACAAAAAAGCTTTATCTAAGCACAGATGGCCCTCCCTATAATCCTAGCTTCTTGGGAGGCTGAGATCAGGAAGACTGAGGTTCAAAGCCAACCACAGCAAAGGTCACAAGACTCCTTCTCAACCCATCGCTGAATGAAGTGATCCAAGCTATGTGGAAGGCTGAGATTGGAAGGATCATAGCTCTAGACCATGAAAATCTATGAAAGTCCATCTCAGTAGAAGAATATGAGCCTATAGCACAGGCCTGCCATTCCAGCTACAACGGAAAATCTAAAATAGGAAGATCACAGCCCAAGGATCCCCAAAAATAACCATTGCCAAAAAGGACTGTATAAGAAGCTAGTAGAGTGCCTGCTTAGCAATCATGAGGTCCTGAATCCAAAGCCTAGTGCCAACAAGAAAAAAAGGCAGGCCTTGATTTAGGGAAGCAGCCAACCTATGGTCAGGTAGTATGGAGTTATTCTTAAGGTTTCTGAACTCTGTCCTTCTACACTAGTTCCAGCTCAACAGGAAGTAATATAGGGGGAAAGAGCCTATGTTTGGAATACCAGACATGGGTTTGAATCTTCCGTCTCTAATAATCTATCAGCTCTTGGGCAAGTTGATTCATATCTCTAAGCCTCATGTCCTCTTTCTGTAAATCATGTTCTTAAGAAGACTACATGTAGAGCACTTAGTACCTCACAGGTGTTCAGCAAATTATGGAACATCTGCCAGATGCCAGCCTATACATAGAGCTTGCCTATAAGGCAAGGACTCCTTCCTTCACCATTCCCCTCTGTTCTTCCTCAGACTGCTGACATGGGGCTGACAGAAAACATTGGGGAAAGTGGACTGTGTTTTGAGCTGTGGTTTCGGCGACGGCGTGCACGAGAGGCATACACTCTGCAGGCAACCTCACCAGAGATCAAACTCAAGTGGACAAGTTCTATTGCCCAGCTGCTATGGAGACAGGCAGCCCATAACAAGGGTACTGGACAGAGGCAGGGAAGCTGTGCTTGGAATCAGGGTTCTAACAGGAGATTTTGTGGAATATGGGAATTGCTTGGGAAAGCTTTGTAGGATGCTTTCCAAACTACAAAGATAGTAAAAATGTGAAGTTAGTTCTTAATGCCCAAGATAAATGGAAGTGAGTATTAGAAGGAAAGGCATGTGGGCAGAACACAATATATGGAAGAGAAGAGACAAATTGGAGGAGGAAATCAAAGATGACTATCATCATCCATTTTGTGGTAGTACACAGGAAGAATTAGGAGATGTCCCAGATGCTGGTGGCTCACACCTGTAATCCTAGCTAGTCAGGAGGCTTAGCAGCCAGCCTAGGTAAGAATGTCCTTAAAACTCTTATCTCTAGTTAGCCACTAAAAAGCTGGAAATGGAGCTGTGGCTCAAGTAGTAAAGCATCAGCCTCAGTGAAAAAGCCAAGCAAGAGGCCTTGAGTTCAAGCCTTAGTATCAGCGCCAGAAAAAAAAAAAAAAATAGGGCACTAGTGGCTCATGCCTAGCTGTTCAGGAGGCTTAGGATTGGAGTTCAAAGCCAGCCCAGGCAAAAAGTCCCTGAGACTCTTATCTCCAATTAACCAATAAAAAGCCAGAAGTAGCTCCAAGTGGTAGAGCACTAGCCTTGAGCAAAAAAAGCCAAGTGAGAGTGAGAGGCTCTGAGTTCAAGCCCCAGTACTGGCACACACACAAAATATAATCGTAATACTACATGTCAAGATACAGAGGAAGAAAGGAATCATGAGAGTTGGAAAAGAAAAAGCCAACACAGTGTGATACAGCTGAAGCTAGGCCTGGGCAGCAGGAGATGGTTAACAGGGTCTCTATTCTCTAGAGCTCCGAGTGCAGCAGATGGTCTCCATGGGCATTGGTAATAAACCTTTCCTGGACATCAAAGCTCTTGGGGAACGGACACTGAGTGCCTTGCTCACTGGAAGAGGTGAGGGCCAGGGTGCTGTGTGGGGGAGCCCCCAGAAGTCAGACCTTAACTACTGGTGCAGGTCAATGGGGCGGTGTGGTGGAAAGTCAGGAAGAGTAATGAGTGGGCCTCTTTCCAAAACCTGTGGGACTGACTGGGGGGCCCTCTGTGCTGACAGTTGTTGTAAGAAGCCAGGAGGACTTTCCCACACCAGCACTCCCCCACTCCCCACTCTCTGCAGCCGCCCGCACCCGGGCCTCAGTGGCCGTGTCATCCTTTGAGCATGCCGGCCCCTCCCTTCCCGGTTTCTCGCCGGGAGCCTGCTCCCTGCCTGCTCGCGTCGAGGAGGAGGCCTGGGATCTGGACGTCAAGCAAATTTCCTTGGGTGAGGCACCTCTCAAGGGGTGGCCCCCAGCAGCTGGGTCATCATGGTGATGTTCAGGCTGTCTACTGCTAAGCAAGTCCTTTATCTAGCCAAGTAGCCCAGTTGCTATGACAACTGTGTACAGCTTCCCCATTGCTAAAAGAGCCTTCCATCTGGTTGCTAGGGTGATGCTTACAGCAGCTTTTTGCTAAGAAGCACTTCCTCTGTACCTCTCTCTCTAGCTCTCCTTGGGTTTCTATGGAAACTGCCTCAGCTTCCTGTTGTATCCTCCTGGTTCACCACAGCAATCCTTATAGTTTCCTGTTGCTTCCTCCCTGGTTGCTCTAATGACGCTTCTGCCTCTTGGTAGGGGGGTTCTCTTGAAACTGGATTGCTATGGTGACTCACAGCTTCCTGTTGCTATGGAGCCTTTTCTTCCCTGATGAAACAGCTTGGTTGCTTAAGGTAATCTGGAGGGGCTTTATACCCTGTTCTCATCCAAGTTTCCCCTCTAGCCCCAGAAACACTCGACTCTTCTGGAGATGTGTCCCCAGGACCAAGAAACAGCCCCAGCTTGCAACCCCCTCATCCTGGGAGCAGCACTCCCATTCTGGCCAGTGGAGGGATCTTAGGGCTATCTCGACAGGTAAGTCTCTGCAATTAGTCTGGGAATAGGGTGCTTTCTTTGGTCACTCTGGCATTTCTGATAATTTGACCCTTTGGAGGGTAGGAGAACCTGTAATCTTAAGCTTCCAGTTACAGCTTGGCATTTCTCCCTGGCTAAAAGGTATCAGGGTCAAAGGTAAAAAGCAATCTTTAAGATGAAGTGTACTTGGGAGACATAGGAAATATGCCTCTAAATTCATTTCAGTTTCTCTGCCCTCAGAATCATGCCCGAGCCCTGAGTGACCCTACCACGCCTCTGTGACCCAGGTGAGTCAGTGTCCCCTTTCTACCTTACCCAGCAAATGCCTTCTTTCCTGATCTCAGCTAATCACTCAGTAGTCAGCTTCTTCCCTCTTCCAACCTACCTTCCTTTTCTCTCTTGGCTTCTAGAGGAGATCCAGAACTTGGCTGTTGCTCCCCCTTCTCAGCACATTTTAGGCTGGGAAGCCAGTGAGACATAATGGAGGACTAGGAGAGCTCTGAATTCTCTCTGCTTCCTGGACAGAGGAGGACCACAGCATGCCCCTGCTACTGCTATCTCTAGCTCTCCCCTGCTTGGTGCCTTCTGCTTCAACAACAAAGCAACCACACTTGCTAGCCTTCTTTACCCTGTGGAGGTGGGGAAATTATCCCTCTTCCAGTCCTTCCCCATCCTGTGCCACTGCACCCCACAGGACACAGCTCTGCTGACAGCCTGTTTCTCTTCTTATCCCACGACTCTCCCAGAGAAGATTTGAGCTGTCCTTGGAGTTCCTGGTGACTCCATTCTGGGGTGTCTTGGGAAAGGGAGCTTATACAAACCATTGAAGGAGTGGGCCAGGAACTGCAGACTTTATATATGTAATTATTCTTATTGTACTATTGTTATATTAAATGTATTTACTCATACTCTGCCTCTCAGGAGCCAAAGCAGTCCTCTGAATTACAGTGTTCCTACTAACTTAAACACTTCCCCTCAACTATTAACTAGAACACAGACAATAAACCCAAGGCTGGAAGGCAGCCATCTATCTCTTAGTGGCCTAAAGCTGACTGTGCATGAGCCCAGGAGAATGTGCCTTCTCCTCAGTGGCTCCCAGAGGCTCCATGAACTCTGAAGTTCCTTTCTGTATCTACTTTTTAAAGCAAAAAAAAAAAAAAATGGGTCTAGCACTGTACAGCAGTTCTCCACTGAGGTCCTTGTCTAATAGTTTATAAACCTGCTATGGTACTTGTTTAATGATAATTCATAGGCTCCACCCAGGTACTGAATTAGAAGGCTGGAGGTTAAAGCAAGATTCTGTGTGTGTGTGTGAGAGAGAGAGAGAGAGAGAAAGAGAGAGAGAAAGGGAGAAGGGGGGATTGGGAATTTGAACTTTAGGCATACAGCTTGCTTTACCAGGCTCTTCCAGTGACAATTCTAAGTGCCTGAGAAGGTAACTTAGTTTTCTACACAGAAGAGCAAAAAGGGAAATAGGAGGACATAGCAAGACAGACACAGAGCCCTGTGCCTCAAGACACCTGTTTATTTGGGGACACGACTGCAACAGGGATGACAGGAATCGTACCAAAAATATCAACGTCTACAGGGCCCCTGATGGGGCTAGAAGGGTACAGTGCCCCCCACCCCCACCCCTTGTATAAAAATAAATTCTCACTCCTAGAGACCAGCAAAAACTGGCAGAGCAGCTCCTCAACAGGGATATAACCCTCTGCCAGCCCTAGGACCCCATTCTTTGACCCTCACCTCTGCCACTTCTAAGGCACTGTGACTCCCCTGGGCTGGGTGGGGACTGCCTGCCCACCTCCACCTGCTGCCCCTTCCACCTCTGGTCTGCTTGGGGTTGGGATACAAGTCCCACAATGCCCCCTGCTGGCTGTTCTACCCAACTACCTCTAGGCTCCCCTCTCCGGCGGGGTAAGCTCGCTAAGCTAATTGCCCCTAAGAGGGCACCCTACCGTTCTTGTGCCCCTAGCCCCGCCTCTCCTGGTCTAGACAGCCCTGGGCTATCCTCTCCTTCCAGTGGAGGGCTGGGTGGGGTCTCTCCCGTTGGTGCTAGGGTATAGGGCGGAGAAGCATCAGCTTGGGGCTGCCTACGGCCTCGAGCCCTGCGGCTGTGGTGCACTTGTAGGTGCAGGGCCATGAGCTCAGAGGCTCCAGTGGCAAAGGGGCAGAAGAGGCAGCGGTGGAGGGAGCCCCCCGGCCCGGCCTCGCCCCCTGGCCCCGCCCTTAGGGAGAGGTCCAGGGGTTCTGCCTCACCACCTCGCCCATTGCGCAGGGTCCTCCCAGGGCTGGTGGGCTTACGACGGGACCCAGGCCCAGAGCTGCTTGAAGGAGGCCGAGGGCCCGTGGCACCTTCCACCCAAGTCGCAGGGGGCTGAGCCGACTTGGCTCCCGATGGCTGAGCTGAACCCCGCTGGGAAGAGGGTGGTGGCTCTGGGGGTGGTCCAGGACCTGCACCACTCCTCTGCTCTCGGTGGTGACGCTGCAGGTGGTACTTGAGCGAGCCAGACTGGGTGCCCGCATAGTCACAGTGTGGACACTTGTAGGGACGCTCACCTGGGGAGAGTGGGTCAGATAAGCTCTAGGGGTCACCATCATTGAACACCTCACCCCCTCAATCCCTTTTTCTCCATTTACAAACTTCAAGCTAAGGACCAGAAACAAACTGCCTCCCTCGATGGCTGACTTTGTAAATGAGCATTTCCCACGTGATCTCTGGCCAATCTGAAGGCTGCCTCCAGTGTTTCCAGTAGCTCTCCCCTTTATTCTGTCTTCTAGTTCCCCCCTACTCCTCCCCACATGAGGTCAGCCTCCCTCACCTGTGTGTACCCTCAGGTGCACTTTGAGATGATGCGCTGAGCGGAAAGACTTTCCACAGAAAGGACAATCCTTGCCAGTAGCCCCCCGGCCCCCTTCAGGCCGAGTACTTCCAGCCAGCAGCCCATTTTCTTCTGTAACACATGAAAAGGGGAAGTTAGAGGGATCCCTTTGCTTTGAGTATCCCCCACACCTACCCACTAGATTGCTTCCCCTCAGAGCCCAAGAGGAAACAGGAAATTTTGGTGGAACTTGAAAGATGGGCTTTGTTGTGAACTGCAATTAGGGTCCTCAGAAGGTTACCACCTTCTGAGGGGTGGGAAAAAAATGACAGGTGGAGGGTGAAGACAGGTTTGTTTTTATGGGGGTGGTGGCAGAAATATTAAGAGGACTAGATGCATAAACCCTGAGAGAACAGAATTGCGACATACCCTGCGTGGCTGTGGATCTTGCCTGGGACCCCCCAGCAGGTGCCGAGTGCCCCTGCCCCTCACCAGGGCGCGGATGCAGTGAAGCCAGAGGGCCGAGCGACCTGCCCCGGGCCCAGTTCTCCTCTTCAGCCTCCACCACCTCCTCTTCCTCCTCGGGCTCCTCTGCCCGGTTCCGGTGAGTGCGGGCAGGGAGAGCTGACTGCAGGGGGCGGAAGCTTCCGAAACTGCGGCCAGCTCCGGGCTCAGCACCCTCGCCATTGGGTCGGGCTTCACCAGCTCGGACGCTTAGATAGCCCAAGAGGCTTGGGGGCTCCCGGCGCTCAGCTGGGGTGGGCGCCGGGGCCAGGAGTAGTGCCGGGCCCAGTGGCTCATAAGCCAACAGACCCAGGTCTGGAGGCTGAGGTGCCCGGGGAGGCCCAGAGCCAGGCCCTGGGGCACGTAGAGGACCCAGCTTGCTGGCATGCACCTTCATGTGGTTCTTAAGGAACCAAGGCTCCTTGAAGCAGCGGCCACATACGGGACACGCATGATCAAAGGAGGCTTTGTGCTTGCGCATATGGCCCTTGAGAAACCAGGACTGTGTAAAGCTCTGGCCACACACTTGGCAGCGGAACTCAGGGGGCGCTGGAGGCTCCTCTGGAGCTGCAGGAGCTGGGGCAGGAGTTGCCTCATGTTCAGGCTCAAGCCTGGGCCGGGGCTCTGGTTCAGGGGCAGATCTGGGTTCTGGCTGGGGCAAAGGCTGAGGCTGGGACCCAGCAGAGGTGGCCACCAGGGGGCGATCAGGGGGCGGCCCGTGGACCGTCAGGCTGTGGTTCAGCAGCTCCTCCTCCTGGCTCGAGCCAAAACTGCACAGGCTGCATTTCCAAGGCCTGTGCAAGATATGCAGGTGGCGTTCGCGCTCTGCAGAGGTTCGAAACTTGCCTTTGCAAAAGGGGCAACGAAAGGCAGACGATGACGAAGGAAGTTGAGGCTGTGCCAGGCCCTCAGTGGCAGAGGTGGCCTGCATGCTTCCGGAATTTCGGGCTCTGCCCAGTCGGGCCTCACGCAGCAGTGCACGCTCCTCCAATTCCAGCAACAGGCGGGCAGCAGGGCTACGTGCGCGCTCCGGGCGCTCTGGCTGGTGCGTTCGGAGATGGGAACGCAGCAAAGCCTGCTGCGCAGCACGATGGCCACAATGTGGGCACTGGAAGGCCTGGGCTCCCGGGTGTGCTCGCAGGTGCAAAGCCAGGATGGAATTGAAACGGAAGCGCTTCCCACACACAGGACAGGGGAAGCGTCGTTCACCTGTACGACTCTCAGACCAGCCCACTGCTCCCATCCCAGGAGACCCTGAGCTCACACTGGGCCCGTTGGAGTAGCGCTGAAGATCCAGCTCACCGTCGAACGCCTGTGGCGATGGCGCTAGGTGGCCACCAGAGATGCGGGGACGTGAGCCCTGTGGGAAAAGATACACATATACGGAGTAAAGGGTGAAGAGTGACCTGTGAAGGAATAGAGGGCATAGTGGGGAGAGGCAGTTCACAAGAGGGAGGGTTGGTTTTAGCCTGCCTGGAGGAGGGGAGCACTTATTTCTGGAAGTTGGAAGATGGGTGGGAATTGGATGCTAAGGCCAGCAAAGGAGAGACTGTTTATAACTGGACATCAAAAATTGCGGGATAGTAGAAGAGTGAGTACCACTGAAAGTACTTATAGGTTCAGGACAGAGTATCACTCACCTCCATGGACCCCTTCACATTCTTTGGTTCTGAGAGGTGCAGAGAAGAGGGAAAGCTGCTAATGAAGGCAACAGGTGCTGAGGCACTAAAGCAGAAAAGAATTAGAGGAAAGATTTTCAGCAATGGAAAGTCACCCCCAACCCAACCCTGCACCCTGTAATCCTAAAACCTACCCCTTCTTCCTAGTGGCATGAGGCAGCTCACCCGCCTGCTTGGGTCCTCAAAGTCTTTACCCCCTTGTTTTGCCAAGACCAAAAAGTTTTCTGATAGCCCAGCTTTCTTCCCCCAAATTGTACTTTTTAAAAGCCTAATCCAGAACCACCACTACCTCCTCCTCCTCACCCCCTGGTGACAGGAGCAGCCATCACCGTGTACCCCTCTTTCGTTACAGTAAGACTATATAGCTTGATAAGCAAACGGAAAGGTCTGCCATGCTCCCCAGTTACCAACTAGGACCAAGTACTCTCACACCGCTGACCAACCACCCAGCCAAACATTCTCACAGGTTCCTGGGTCCTTACTTCTACCCTTACCCTGTCTTCCCCCTCACTCTCCCTCCCTCTGCCTGGATTCCTGATCCATTCATTTCCATTCATTACAGAGACTCATTCATGCATGGGAGAGAAACACCTCCCTGCAACAGAGTCTGGAGACAGACAGAGGGGGAGGGGCATGAAGGAGAGAGAGAGCTACAGAGGGAATGAAGAGTTGGGGGAGGAATGGAAATTAAGGGGCACCGCCAGGCTAGGAAAGGGGTTAAAAACTGTAAATACCATCTAGGATTCATCCCTGTTTCAAACCTTGGAGCCTACGGGTTTGATAGGGCATCTCAGCCCCTTTGTCCAGGGCTGTTCTGAAGCAGGCTTTCCTCCTCTCTGCAGGGGAGAGGCTTCCTCACACAAGAGGAGGATTACACTGGCTCTGAGCTCAAGAGGCTGGAGTGAGGGACGGGGGGCGGGGCGGGGCCATCTGCACAGATAGGGGCTCCACACAAGCTCTGAGCAAGAAGAGGTTAAAAT